CTAATTAAATAATTTATCAGTTGTGTGAATAAAGTGAATGAGATTCATTCAATTGCTGTTAGAAGTATAAAAACTGTTTCACTTCTTTATTAGAAGGATTCTTCTTTAGTGATCTGAAAATAACTGAATATTGACAATTTTAGAGCACTACCTCAGAGTACAAGGTTCGGGTTAATGAGGTGATAAACAACCACCTACTTTGGTAGATCCAGACTAATTGGTTAGAATCTGCGCATAAACTTCAATCACTGGTCGGAGACGTCTTATCCCTATCATTAATACTACAATAGTTTAGAGTCATTTGTTATTCATTATCTTAGTTTCATCCTGCAGTGATAATATAGTTTGACACTGTGGGCTGATATACTTTTATGATTAACTATTGTGTTTATACGATGTTATCTATTCTTTTTTTAATCTTAACTTATTCTTTTCTAGTTAATGATCAGTGAGATCAATTTGGCCATGACTAAACATGAACACTTGGATTCTAATCTTTGAATTAAAACAATAACTATACTCATACACTTATAATAACATTGTGTGTTTCAATTTGTGGTGATTCATTTCAATACTACTTTAATACAATTGTATACTTCTTTTCAATAATTATTATCCGATTATCATAAATACCCTCTCTCTCTATCTCTCTGTCTAATTAGCCCGCCTTATTTTGTTGACAACTGAGTTTTTTTTCTATGATATTTTGATGCTTCTATTGGATAAACTATTTTTCTAATTGAGTTATGATGTGCATATACAAGAAAAATATTTTGAAAATGAACCCCCCTTATTGCATAGAATGAATCTGTTACCATGTAATATTTCTTGATTTATAATTGCTTAATCACATATACATGCTTATTATTGTCTGTTGACAGAGCTAACGACAGATTCTCTCTATTTGTTATTATTCATTCTTTATTTGAATTATAATGTATAGATGATAAGAATCTGCTTCTTTTTTTCGTTATATCCAGTTGTGATTTCGTTAGAATGGTTGATATTGCCCCATTAACAATAATTACACCATTTAAAGAACCACAGATTCAAAAAATAGGTCACTTCACTAGATTTATTACTGTATTATTGTAGGACTTTCTTATCATTCATCAAATAAAACTCTTACTTCATGGAACACACAAGCGTATCGTTCAGTGAATGATTGTCATAAAAAAAGTTGACTACAAATGAAACTTGAATAGAAACGTATATCCAATGTAAGAAACCAACCGGGTTTAGTCCATAAAATATAAATTGCACACAAGGAATATACTGAATGTTACTTAAATTGTCAGGAGTACGCGTGTTCTAGTTTCTTTTAGTCTGGTAATCCACAATTATAAGTATTTAGTAATTACAACTGTGATTGCTATAATCCGAGATGTATATCCAGAAAAACCATGTAATGAGGATATCCATATGATCCATAAACATACACAGCAAATGTATCAGAGTTCTATTATCGTAACAACGGATAATTGAGAACAAGGAGTATATGTATACAGCAGTGTATTTGTCAGTGATAATCAATGTGTCATGCAAGAGGGGTTCAAAATTGGAACGGATGGTGAGAGACCATGTTTTTTTAAACAATAATTTTACAGTAGATAGTAGTAATTCGATAAATTATGATAATTAATGAAAAAAATGCGAATAGTAACAAGAACTAATTACAAACTAAGCCTATGTCAACTATCCGCACAGCATAAATCGACCAATATATAACTGTCGAGACTTTAACTATCTCCCTACAGTTAATTTTGTGAGAAAAACTACTTATAAATCTGAAAATCATAACAAATAAGACTATTATCAGAAGGGGGCTTTGTGGAGACTTCAGTAATTTTATATAGTTGAGATCATGAGTCAATTGAAGCTAGACCACCATGGAAAACCTGGAAGCACTGGACGCATCCATGATCCCGGCTTGCGCGTTGCTGAGGAGTCCCACAATAGGACGAAACAGCCGTCCAGTGCTTGGAGGTTTTCCACGGTGGTCTAGCTTTAATGGACTCATGATCTCACCTATATGAAATAAGACTATTTACAATATACAGAAATTTCATATTTGTTAACAGTTCAAGTAAACACAAGTGAGTGAACCAATAAATCCAACGATTAAATATATATCGAGTCCCGTCGTATCATTGGTGAAGAATAAGGATAGTTCAGTGAATATATTGATGCAGAATAATATCAACTCATTATATATCGTGGTTTCTCATCAGCTGCTTACAACCAAATCTGTATTAGAATTTTAGCATTGAGATAATAAATAATGTGGAGCAATTGAACGAAAGTGAATGTAAAGGATTGCAATGACAAAAGGTTATCAATGATAACTATATACATATATGTGTGCAAAAAAAGGTCAGAGGTTATTAGGTGTTAGAATCAATGAAACATAAAGAGTGGGTGGTGTAATAATTGAGTGATGTTCAGAGACAGATAAGATAAATTGTGGGATAATTTTAGAGGATTCATGGAATTAAAAACAAATAGGATGGGTTGCGAAATAAATGAATAGAATTTGAAAAGTACACATGATTTAAGAGAATCAAGTGAGCGGAAATGTGTGAATGAAAGGGTAGTTTAAGAATTGGGTAATGGAAGAGGAATATAAAACAAAAATGATGACCAAGAAAAAAAAACTCAAAATAATTGGATTACCAGGGTAGTAATGAGTCTATTAATGTTTCTTTTTGAATACATAGACCCGGTTTAAGTTTTTTATCGCGATCGCTTCAGCAAACCGGAGAGCAGCCGTACTTCTTTGTCTGTTAATAATTTTGAAAGCATGAGATATTTCAATGGTATGCAGGGTGTAAAGTAAATACCTAGCTGTTGAGAGCCCTGGTCTCTCGCAGCTTCAGTTTCTTTGGAACGTGCTCAGAAATGCGAACATGTACTCTTCTTTCAGTTCTTCCAATGTATATGCTTTGGCATATACAATGGCAATATACAGCAGATGCACATAACGCAACTTGTCTTCATCGATTACTGAAATATGGAATATGGATATTAGCTTAACAGGTATATTTAGGAAGACTTTAATGTCTATTTTGAAAGAACAAGGGGATTTACTGTGTGAGAAAGCTACCCTGGTACTATGAATCTTATCAAAATTGAATTCCTTAAGGCGTACGAAGCACTCAAACTGGAGGATAGTTGTCCAAAAATAATCCGAATAGGAGGGCGGAAATTCTCAGGTACTTCCCAGTGTAAGGGTGGTTGTGGAACATTTTAGATGAAGCTGTTATATACCGGTTGACATCATACCGCAAAAGAAACATGACTTTGCAACCGTTAAGCTTTGATCTATAAAAAAGTAAGCATAATAACAGTTAATTACCCTTTACTCCCGGACTATGGCCTTCTGGCTTGCTTCTATAATCAAAACAGCAAACATTCACTACATAATGCTAGCAGGTTGCCGGCTTTTCAATTATAAACTTGCTTTCACGCACGACATGATAAGTCAAACTCATCTGTTACTGTTATTTTTAATAGCAAAGATAGCATCTCTGACTAGGTCCAGGGTTGTCAGGTGCCTGGGTCTCATAATCTTTTCGAAAGCATTACTGGTATTCACCACTACCGGGCACTCAGTATTAGTTTGACTCGTTGATAGGTTGGGTTGTCCATAGTAATGAAGAAAATAACGAACCAGAGATAGTATTCTTTTATTGCTCCCGATAGCATCATAAATGACATAACTGTACCTTTAGGAACGACCATGTGGACAGTTAGAGTCCCAGGCGGCAGAAACACTTATTTTAGCAAAACAAACCAACTTTGGTTTTCAATATCTACAAAATAATACCCAAAACAAAACGAATTGCCTGAAGAAATACACTGACTTGAGTAGCAGCAGAAAAAACCGAGAAAAAAATCTGAACCAAAGTAAATTGTGTCAACATTAAGAGTATTACATTAACTGCACCATTTAAGCACGTTGAAACATTAAATTATGCAGCTACATACTTGACGGAGAAGCTTTGGAAGATGTGGAAACCTTTACATATTTGGGCAGCTTCATTGATGAACACGGTGGATCAGATGCAGATGTGAGGGCGAGGATCGACAAAGCAAGAGCAGCATACCTACAACTGAAAAACATCTGGAGATCGAAACAATTGTCAACTGTTATATCCCCTGATGAATTATGAATGGTAACTTTAGGTCTATTTATGGATCAATGTAATATGCCTATTTCCTATTGTACAATTGTTACGTAACTAAACTATTCATATTCATGTTTCTCTTATCATGAGCTTTATTTTGATTTTTGATTTATTATCATACGATTCTTGAGTTATACTCAGTTATTGATTACTTTGGTTTGTATAAAAACCCATTATGTTTGTAAATAATGATTCATACCACTGAGGCTGTTATTGGTGTTTTGGACTTAACTGGCTGGGCTAGGCATATAGCAGGGCCGATACGCAATCAAGACTGCTCGTACGATTTTAAGTATCATTTGCGTCCGATCAATAAAATCCACTACTTCTCTAATTGCACATTCATATATATTACGAGTTCATACGTTATAACATCAACCAACACCAAGGTTAGAATTTTCAATACAAATGTGAAGACAGTTCTACTGTATGGGGCGGAGACGTGGAGAACTACGAAAGCCATCATCCAAAAGATACAGGTGTTTATTAACAACTGTCTACGCAAGATACTTCGGATCAGATGACCAGACACTGTCAACAACAACCTACTGTGGGAGAGAACAAACCAGATTCCAGTGGAGGAAGAAATCAGGAAGAAGCGCTGGAAGTGGATTGGGCACACTTTGAGGAAATCACCTAATTGCGTCACAAGACAAGCCCTCACATGGAATCCTGAAGGTCAACGGAGAAGAGGAAGACCAAAGAACACATTACGTCGAGAAATAGAGACAGACATGAGAAGAATCAACAAAAACTGGATAGAACTAGAAAAGAAGGCCCAGGAGAGAGTGGGTTGGAGAATGCTGGTCGGCGGCCTATGCTCCATTGGGAGTAACAAGCTTAAGTAAGTAACACAAAATAAATAGCGGGAAAAAAGCACAGAACGAAGAAAGCCAACCGCCATTACTTACAAAAATGGGGGGATACACAATAATTCCCGCTTCATTTTGATTGGTCGTTAAGTAGATTGCCACGATTACGAAATCTAGTTGAGTTTAACTGCAACCTGTTTCTCTCGTTACCATTCGAAAATAAATGTTCTGATTACCAAACAATAGTTAATCATTCTACAATTAATCAACACCTTTGTTATACTTTCATAGTCAACAAGCTTGTTAAAGAAATAATACATCAGAAACTCCACTTTCGCACACAGTCCTCAATTCGGACTGCTTGCTGGTGAGCAGTCTATGCTCCTCGACGAGGTGTAACAGGCATAGGTAAGTAAGTAAGTAAACTCCTTTTGTTTTAAAACTAACTGTTTAATAAATCAAAAGTGAATTACATTTCTCAAAATAACTAACTATTGAGCAATCAATATACATATATATATACTAAAAAAAGAAAATAGATGTCTTTGTCTATAGTTTCCAGGTCAATACACTGAAGACAAATAACATGAACAAGAACAACAACAACAATAACAAACAAAATGAAGTAACCGCAAGTCCATTCTTTAAGATTTAGTTGCTATCTAATGTATAACACAGGATGAATTCAAGATGATTCTTTGTTCAATTCTTTGTCAATCTCATTATATTTTGTACACATCAAACAATGGTCATAATGATCAATTTATAGTAATCATTTTTACATATTATAAATTAGCCGAATGGTATATGTATATATAGAAGGAAGTTAGAGTTCAAGATAGATTCAATGGCATTGTCTTTGAATGGATCATTGAAGAAGATTTCAATTGATTTTCTACAATTTCAATTTTCTTCAAAATTAAATTGGATCTACAACGTGCTTGTTGAATTGCAACTTTAGTAATTTCAAAATTTTTTATAAAAAATTCTACATCATTCTAAGAGATAATATGGAAAAAAAAGAAGTTTATAAAGCAATTAGTTCCATTTTTTATGGGATAAATTTCGATAGTTGGAATAAGAAGATGAAGATTATCAGAACTATGTGATTAATACACTTAGTATTGTTTGTTTGAATCTTCCTATTGGTGTTTTTAGGACTGCAACTGATAAATCTCTAACTGGCATATGTGCATACTGTGCGTATTGTCTCGATATAGCCTTAATTCCTTAAGTATTGTAAGCAAAGATGGATAATGGCTAGCAGTGGAATCCAGTTTGACGAGCGTTTCATCCTATTTGAAGCGAATGGTACTGGGTTCGAGTCCTAGAATGTCAGATACAACATTCATGATCAAAAATTAGAGGACCACAATATAGGTCTCCAAATGCCCTGGTACGGCCGAGAGTGAGGAGAGTACGCTCTCCCTCCCCAAATGCTCTCACATGACCATGTGTATATAGCCTCTACCAAGGAAGTCCCACTTACTGCCTTCTCGTGACCAGGGTGTTGTTTACGAAATTGAGAGGACGAAAAGTGAATGTCCGGAGCTTTAACCGGGTTGGTGGACACGAAAAGTCCACCTAGAGGAGTTGGAAAACCCTGATTCCAAACTAATGGTGGACATGGGCTCCAGTATCCTGATGGAAAAAATGGCGTATGAATCAATCGTTGGTCACGATGCTCCACTGACTTATGGATCAGATCTTTAGGTCAAAGGCTCCGGGTGTGGCCCCCTAAGAAAATCACCTGCTTCAGTTTGGGCACTTGGGCAGTATTACAGCCCTCACACAAATCGAATGAGATTTGTGAGGCGCATATTTATCTGGTGCTTCCTTGTACCAATATTTATGTGTTTTAATAAATAAATACATCATAGACTAGACAATATTCTATTCAAAATTATTGCAGACAGTTTACATTAAATAAGTCTAGAACTCAAAAATAAGGAGGAAATCACGTGTTATATTATCATTAAGCACAATGTCTGTCTGTCCAAATTCAGTGTCTAGTCAAATCTTACTTTCACTACCTACATATTAGTCAATGAAAATGAAGGCTCAAAGCTAAACTTCAAAATTACTTTATCAATGCAAACTTGTTTCTTAACTAGTAATTTTTAGGTTCGAATTCCGCCCTACTTAATTCAATTAAGACAATCAGGTAGTATCATCAGAAATCACTCAAGCAGTTGTATTGTGGAACCAAGAACACAAGTCTTTTCCCTTTTAAAAACCTTCACCAGTTTTCCTCTATTCATTTGGATCTAGTTTTTTTATGATGCTCTGTTTCATATTCCAGTAAAGGAGAATAAGTCAAATGAAACCACTGTATTCAGAAAGCAAAAATCATCAATAAAATAAGTTCCAATGTATTATGAGACACTAGGCATTTAAACTACTCAAAAAGTTTATCATATGCCAAAAAATAAGTACAAGGAAACCTAGACAAAAAAATTTATTACGCCTTTTCTATGTAAAATGATTTAAATAAAGCAAGAACAAACATTGATGCAGAATAGTATGAATTCATATTATTTCGAGGTTTCGAGGTTTTGCAATGGCTTCAGCAAAGCGGAGAGTGGCAGTGGTTCTTTGTCTATTGATAATTTTAAACGCGCACATAATATCGACGGTATGCCCGGTGTCAAGTAGATGCCAAGCTATTGCACTGTTAAAAGCTTTAGTCCCTCGCAGAGTCAAGTTCTTCGGAATATGCTCAGAAATGCGAAGCTGTACTCTTCTCTCAGTTCTTCCAATGTATGTGCTACGGCACGCTTTGCTGAAGCCATTGTAATTAAGAAACTGAAACCGGACTTATGCATCCAAAAAGAGACTTTAATAAACTTATCACTACCCTGGTAATCCTTTTGTTTCTGTTTGTTTTGTGTTTTGGTTATTTTATTCATTTACTTATTCTAAGATAATTTTACACTCCCCCCCCCTATTGCCTAATTCTTAAAATAAATTTTATTCACACATTTCCACCACCTGATCCTCTTAAATCATCTTAACTTTCCAAACCCTATTTAATTATTATTGCGTAATCTACCTTATCATTAGTCAATTCCATTAATCTCTACAATTATCACACAATTTATGAACTTCACTAAATTATTACACCACCCACCCTGGATTAACCTCCCTCTTTTGACCTCTGACCTGTTTCTAGCATATATATATATAGTTATTATTGTAATCACGTTATTTACACTCATTTATGTCAATTGTTTCACACTATCTTCATGTAAAAATCCTATCACAATTTTGGTTTGTAAGCAGCTGACGAGAAACCTCGAAATAATATGAATTCATACTATTCTGCATCAATGTTTGTTCTTGCTTTATTTAAATTCATAAAGGGAACCAATTGCATAAAATGATTTAACTGGAAGTCCTTTATGAAAATCGCTTTTAAACATTAAATAATCTAGGACCGTTTTTGTATGCTTATAACTGTTGTATCTCGAAGAGAATTATGAATGGTAACTTTTGAGGACTATTTATTGGTCAATATAATATGTAGATTTCCTATTGTAATTAACCTAATCATATTTGTTTCCTCTTATCATTAACTTTATTTTGACCTTTGAACTATTATTATACGATTCTTGAGTTATCCCCAGTCTATTAATTACTGTTCCCCCTATTCACAGCCACATTCGGCTAAATATTGTACAAATGTTATTATCTATTTTATGGGTCGATATGGCTTGTTTGGTTGGTATATAAACTCAATATGTTTGAAATACAATGATTCATACCACTGAGGCTGTTATTTGTGTTTTGGGCTTAACTGGTTGGGCTAGGCAGATCGCAGGACCGGTTAGCACTCTAGTCTGCTCGTACGGGTTTCGTGTCACTGATCCAATCGACAATTCACTGCTTTCTAATTGGTGGTCTCATCAAGTCACACATTAGCAAGGTATCCACTCGGCCACAAGATATAACAATAACCTTAAAATATGTCAAATTAATAACTTTGCTCGCTATCATTTGATGCTTAAAATCCATACTGTAAACTTACTGCAAGCTATTCTCACTTACTATAGTCATAGTGTTTAAAAATATGCAAGTGTTTTGAATATGGATATCAATTTTGATACTTCTTAATAAGATATTGTTGTACAGTGACTAATCACTAGATGGTAGATCATGTGTAGCAACTAAGTCTCATGAAATCCTATTGATCATACTAAAATTTGATTAATTATCTAAGTTGCTTGGAGAAGTTTATATTATATTTGACATCAGGATCCTGGAGGCAAGACTAGAAAGTTCAGATTGATCAAGATTTTGTGTTATTTGAAAATCCAACAGCAAGGAATACCTGCAAACCTGAGGTGCCACTCGGTTCTTCAAACTGCTTGTGCAATTTTCATAACTACATATAATGAAATACTTTAAACTTAATCCAGAGTATGAGATTAGATTCAATCAAATAGTGTTATCAGTTGCATTGGGCTTTCAAGCTTATTATTTGTTTGCTAAAATCAAACTACTAATAAGTAGTCTTTACTCGGTAAATGAAATACAAATTCATTCAGATTTTTATGAAATATTATTCTTGCTGAGTTAACTAAAATCGGTAAATAGCTATGAAATGTTGGACGTATAGATTGTTAAATCTAATCAAACTACCCCCCCCTAAAGAAAGTTTTATTTATTTGGATCTCGTCTGTAAGTGTTGGTATTTTTCGATTGTTGATACTAAGAACTAGTCGGATCACTTCTATTTCACAATTTAGTTACGAGTTTTTGGTAAACTTGGATTTTAACCACTGAACAAGTAAGTAGCAAGCTGGAATCAGTAGTTTAATGGATATCATGTCACTACTAAGGACCAAAGGTACTGGGTTTGAAACTCAATGTGAACAACCACACTGGTACATTCACTTGACGTGTTCTAAATATAATTAAATAACCATCGTAATTACCATTATAAGATGCAATCTAACTTTACTAAACTTTGTTAGATATGTTAGAGTTCTTACGTAATACAGTTAAAATAATCTGATCACCAGTATAATTTGTATAGTAGATAAAACACTGTGAATATCATCAAACATTTTGGTGAAAAGTTACAACCAACGAATTCCATCCATGTTGATTATGACTAACTGACTAACTATTGGAACTGTGACTGGTAAAATCAAGATTATTATGTGATTTTCACGTTATATAATGAGTTGATTGCGGTTAAAAAGGTCGTCATTGAATTAGAATTTGATAGCCAAATAGTATCTATCCTGTTTGTCATGAAGCCTGAAGATCTCAGTTCAGATCAGTTATAGGGTAGTGAGTATACAAGTTCGAAGAATTTCTATCAGATATCAATGATTCTCTAGCTCACATTTTTGATAACATCAATCTTCTAGAAGCTGGTATGATTGTGTATGAAATGGTGTTAATTTTGTAAAGTCCAGATAAAATAGTATGTTTATGATCGTATGATATTTGATATATTATTGAATTAACATTTATCTATGGTTTCACAATTCAGTCAGTCAGTCAGCTACAAAGTAGGACCAGGCACATTTATGCATCGTTCCAACTTGCCATACCTCGTTAGCACAACAAAATGAACACAGAATTCATAGAAGTTAATTTAATGGTGATAGTATATAAAAGATAGGTTGTATATAAGGATATAGTATAGGAAGGAAGAAAGTTATGAATCAGTTTTAATCTCAAGGTTTAAGGGAAGATAAAGAGTGTATACACCTACGCCATTGTGATTGATTCTGAGCCATGTCAACTAGAGTCTCTAACCATTGGTTACAATAGTCTTGCGGACACCAACCAAGTAATCTGCATTTGCCAACATGGCTCAGACTAGAAGTTTCACAAGTGGAAACAACTAGTTGCTTTGTGAGAATAAATGCATCTGAAAATATACACAAAATGTGACTTGGACTAAATATCAAAACAATTACTTCCTGTAGTCTAATCATATGTATGCTATAAATGCATTCCTTGCTTACTAAAGTCCCTATAAACGAGACTACTGACAAATTTTATCAATCACTATCACAGCGTAAAATAGAAGGAGGCCTTGTATTCAGAAATGTACGAAAGTTATTCATGGAATGCACTTAAATATTCAACATCAGTCTATAAGTGAAAGTCACCACCAGAGAGAAATAATAATGGATTCTCAAATGAAATCCTTTCTGGTCGGAATATGTATGCTTAAAATGAAAGAGTTCACTGCATATTAAAATCAATAGACTGTTTGAATATTGTACACATATAGGCAACATATATGTTCTGTATACCAAAAATGAACTCTTCACTTCATAATCTTTTACTGTCAGCAGTATCACTAACATTACACCAAAGAGTACTGACTAACTACTTTTGTTTCCTCTCTACCAGTAAGAACATGTAAGGATGGCTCATTGGCAAACTCAAAGAAGCCTCAAGAAGCCCAGAAAGAGCCGAAGACATTCACAGCTAGAGGAACATTCTAGGATGTCAATGTGTAGCTCTCCTATTGGTTGAATAAGAAGGACCCCCTATGTGCCTACTGGCTATCCGAAATGATGATTTACTTTAAGCCAAAAAACTATAAATACATGAGATTTTTGTACTATATTTGACACAGCTTTGGGAATAACATTCTTACTTACTAGTCTTCTGTCTTCTTATCATTTTGCGACTTGGGAGGGTTCTAGCATTCGATTGCTCAAGTATTACGCGACATACTAAAAATCTAAGTTCAAGATATAACAGAACCTACGATTTGATAAGAAAGTATAAATGAATTTATCCAGGATAACAATCAGTTCTAAAAAATAAAACAATCAACTTACATGAGTTAACAATGATGAATCCGTTAATCTGTCTAATATTTGATTAATTATCGGACTATATTGAATTGAACTAATATGTGCAGGCGGTGGTGAACAGTCAGTTAAATCATTATTATAATGATTATTGTTATGACTTGGATCATTTGAGAAATATAAACGATACAAGTTCATTAAATTAGATTGTCTACTTATTTCGGATTCTATATTAAAATCTTTATTGGATAATGTAAATTTAGACTCATTCAATTTAGGACTCAAGGAGTTACCATGGATACCATTGTTAGTACTGATCTGAAGCAGATGATCATCATCAAACCATGTTGAATTTGATTGTAATTTATTTCGTTTAGAGTATTTTCCCTGTATAGTTAGCTGATCATGTTTCACATCACAATCCATATTACTATTATTATTATTAGTAGTAGTATTAGTAGTAGTAGTAAGATTGATATTTTCACCATTATTCACATTGTCATGATTCAATAATCTAGGCGAATTTGAAAATACTGATGATGATGACGATGATGTGAAAGGTGAAGTAGTTAAAGAATAGGAAGTACTAGTAGTAGTAGTAGTACCAGTCGTAGTCGTAATAATATTAGTAGATGGATATGTGTTATTGTTTAATTGTATTGAAGCTGGTAATAATTTCAATAGATTAGCTGGATTAACAGCAGCCATCGCTGTAGCAGCAGCTGCTGCCGCTGCTGCAGTGGCTAAATAATTCCCATCTAAATTAGTATTTTGAATGAATGAATTCGACCAAAATAATGGATCAGTAAATGGGAATGATGTATTATTGATAATATCATTTAATAGATTATTGGATATATTCCAAAGATTTTTATTACCATGGTTATTATTATCATTATTATTATTATTATTATTAAATTTTAACTTATTACCACCGCCGTAAGTTTCATATTGATCATGTCTTTGTTTAGAAATCTCTGTGAAATCTAAACTGTTCGCTGTTCCTACTGCTACTGCTGCTGTTGTTGTTGTTATGGTGGATAAATTCATTTTTGATGTATAACTTGCAGGAGATCGTTTACTAGTGGTGGATGTGGTTGAGTATGATTTCTCACTTGAATTGTCTAATTTTGAGGAGGAAAATAATGATCCATTTTTAACTTTCTCTGCTTGCATTGTCTAAATAAAAAAAAGAAGTAAATTCAATAGTTTACTTTCATGAAAGGTACAGGTGTTTATGAGGATCGTTAATTTCTTTTCATAGTTTACATAATGAACTAACCTTAGACTAACATTTGAAACCTGAAAGCACTGGACGACCGTTTTGTCCTAGTAAAGGACTCCTCAGCAGTGTTCGCGCGCGAGGCCGAAAGTACTGGGTTCGAATCCCGCTTGTGGGATCGTGGACGCATTGCTGAGGAGTCCCGTACTAGGACGAAATGATAATTCAGTGCTTCCAGGTTTTGAATGGTGGTCTAACATTGATCGATTCATGATCTCAATCAAAACTCAATAATCGCTACAACCCCATGTTGATAAACGCTGGAAAGTTGTGACCAGTGGAGTTCATTGATGTCTGGCATTAGAAAGTTCCCTGATGATAACGCAAAAACATAGTTTTTAAATATGATTGGAGTTATACAGTTAAACCATTGGATTGTTGGTCAGTGATCTAGTCTTCAAACTTTTACCGCAATACCTGAACTCTGACTGTGTGATCCCCAGTGAGCTTGTGGATGCATACTGTTTAGGAGTTGAACGAAACTAATATATAGTGTTATCTAACTAGGGTTGATTACTGACTTAAACCATAAGACTTTGCTTGACTTAACTTTTTATCATGATTAAATAGAACATACCTTATTAGTCTTGTCACTATATAAATGAAATTGACAGACCCTACAAACCACCTTAATCGATTTCATAGTGATTGCACTGCAGAATTTTTCAAATCAATATCTAAAAATTTAAGTACCATATAAAAACTTTTTACAAGGGCCTTTGTCACGTTTATAAAGCTTACATATGGAACTATGAACAGTCCCTCAGCACTGATTTGTTGATCTTCTAGCAGGGTAAATTTTCGTCTGCTAATCTGACATTCCTGTATAATTTAATTTTTGCACTGATAAACAAGTTGTCAATGACTTTTAATTTTAAACTAGCAATACACAATATCATAGTAAGGGGTGTGACCATAGAGTTTAATTCTAATCCATAAAATCATACCAGTATTAATTAACTTCCAATAAATCAACTACTTACTTGTCTTAAGTAGTCTAAATCCCCAGCTACCAAAGTTAACGCTTTTGATACAAGCTGTCGAGCTTCAATTGACAAGCCATTTGCAGGTGGTTCTTTCATATTGATTTGACCTTTATTCTTTTTTGAATTACGTCTACATGCTTTAAGATAAGCACGTATTCGAGTACGATGACGTTTCACTTCTAATTGGGGCCATGCTCTTGTACAGATATTTTCTAAAGCTGTTATAGCGTGTCGTGGTTGTTCACAAAATGTCACTGTACGATCCAATGTATCATCAACTACACGACGTACAAAACTCTGTTGTGGAAAAAGAGGTTATAAAGATTATTAAAGAGGAATTTTCACATTTGAAATGTACGTTAAGCGTCAAAAATTGGGTTGGTAGAATATTATTAATATTGAAAGTCTCAAAAATATGAACTGTTAGTTATGTATACTTACTTATTTACTTACGCCTGCTATCCCTCGTGGAGGAGCATAGGCTGCACATTAGTATTCTCCACCCAACTCTGTCCTGTGCAATCCTTTCCAGTTGCTATTTATCCTTTTCATATCTCCTTCTATTTCCTAGAGTAATGTGTTCTTTGGCCTTCCTCCTTTCCGCTTCCCTTCCGGATTCCAAGTTAGGGCTTGCCTCGTGATGCAGTTTGGTGATTTCCTATTCACTTCCAATATCTTTTCATAATTTCCTCTTCAACTGGAAGCTGGTTTGTCCTCTCCTACAGAAGGCTGTTGCTGATGGTATCCAGCTAACGGATATTGAGTATCTCGCATAGACAACTGTTTATAAACACTTGTACCTTCTTCACGATGGATGTAGTAGTTCTCCACGTTTCAGCTCCGTACAGTGAGACTGTATTGACGTTCGTATTGTAGATTCTCACTTTGCGATTAGTTGAGAGTTGTGTTGAGTTCCACATGTTCTTCAATTGTAGGAATGTTGCCCTTGCTTTGCCAATCCTCTCCTTTACATTTGCATCCAGTCTTCCTTGTTTATCAATGATGCTTCCCAGGTACGTGAATGTTTCCACCTCTTCAAGGGTTTCGCCATCAAGTGTGATTGGGTTGGTGTTCTTGTGTTGTATTTGAGAATCTTGCTTTTCCCTTTGTGCATGTTGAGGCCCATTGATTCACAGGCTGCTGCTACATTAGTTGTCTTCGTCTGCATTTGTTCATGTGTATGGAATAGAAGGGCTAGTTTATCTGCGAAGTCCAAATCGTCTAATTGATTCTGAGATGTCCATTGTATTCCGTGTTTCCCCTCAAATATCGAGGGCTATATAATCCAGTCAATCACCAGAAGAAAGAGTGAGGGGGATAGTGGACAGCCTTGTCTGAATCCGGTCCTTACTTGGAATGTATCTGTCAGCTGTCCTTAATGCAAAACATTGCACTGCAGTCCGTCGTATAAATTCTGGATAATGTTGATAGTCTTCTCAGGAACTTCATAGTGTCGAGGAAGGTTTTGTAATTATGCATACTTAGTAATTAAATAAAGCTCACTTTGTACAAAAAGTCAATAAAAATGAAATGTACATGATTAAACAAATACTATATTCAGTAAACTCTTTAAAAATACTACAGACTGTAAAATTTACTTGCATTTCTAAACATCCCTCCTATTTCAAATGAACCTCAACATCATACAGTACTTCAGTAGCGACAGTTTATATGTTGATTGATGAACTCCGATAATTACTGAAACATGGAGCATTATATTAGGGACTGTCTGTTTGTCAGTTGTTACACAAAGAGTTACATTGAAACCGGGTATTTCAACAAGCGTCCAGTGAATCATCTTTTTTGTTACTATTTTAACTATTAATTACTATGACATAGAATATAAAACACTGAGGGTAAAGATGGAGATCACTTTGTACAAAATGTCCTCACGGTGCAGAGATATTGTAGTGTGGCATATGATCTTCTACATACACTTGGATGCTTGTCCAAAACTAATTAGCTCACTAGATCTGAGATTTAGCCTCATTGTCCGACGGACGTTTTCGATTATGTAAGCATCTTAGTTCTCTTTCCCAATGGGTTTGTGTCTGACGAAATCTCAGAACAGATCCAAAAAGCTCGTTTGGTCTTTGCCACATTACGTCACCTATGGCGACTGTGAGATATCCCTCTATCAATAAAAGGAAGAGTAGACTGTGTGGCAGTTCGTTCTGTTTTACTTTATGGCTGTCAACCGGGTAAGTAATAGTGAGGTCAAATGCAAGTTATTAGTGAATGATGGTTAGTCAGTTGATAAGGTTTTGAATCTAGATCGACTGAAATGATTAGGCTACGTGTTAGGTATGCCTAAACACCGATTATCACGACGCGTAATGCTACGTAATGCTACTGATTTTAGTCCTCCGTAATATGTCATACAATTTCTTACATGAAGTACATGAAGACATAATCAAAAGTAAAAGCTCGTCATAGAAATGAAGAATAATATGGAAACAAGTTAATGGTGAGCTATATACGTAAACAGCTAATTAATCAAGAATGTTTTCGTGTGATTGAATTAAAGCTTTATTTTAACTTGAAACCTTATGATACTGTTCGGAAGCCAACACCGAATTAGGTGAATAGTGATTCAAAACTGATTTATTTAGATAAAGATAAGTAATCATGTCTATTTATTAGTCTAGGATGAAGTGTTCGAATTAGTCATTCATAACTAGTTAAGAACCACGAAGTATTGTTCAAATTTTTAGCATCAGAAGGATGATTAAATCGATCACATGAAGTTGGTTTCCATCACATAATGAAGTTAGCTACAAATAACCCTTAACACAAAAGATGTACTGCGTATAATTACTCGATAGAATGAATCAACTGAAATCGATATGGAAATCTTTAAACTCCAGCTTGAAAGTTGAAACTCATCGAATTTTATATAAAATATGAGTTTCTTCCGTTCTATATCACTGACGCTCAATGGTTTTTATTATTATTATGATTATTAGTTTTATTCAATAGCATATAAAATCTTCAGCACAAAGTATTTCAACAAGTTTCCATTTCTTACTTCTTAGTCAATCCTGACGATAAATATTGAGTGATCTCCAGTTAGAAGTTAGCAGTTCAGTCAATCGACATTTGAATAATGTATATTCTTTTCTCTGTATACTACCAGCAACCACGATATCTCTGATTAGGCTATATGTAACCTTTACAGCGAAAGGTTGTACACTTTTCAGAAAAGCACCTGAATAGGTTGTGCGATTATGATGTATTATAACAAACAAAATTAGATAACTTGTTAAAATATCCAAATGACAGGAACAAGTAGCCCAGATGTTTAAGCAGGCCGCCAACTGATCTTCATAGCAGTTCAATCAAAGAGAATCTAAGAACAGTGTTAGTCGTCTAAGTGTTCCAATATTTCTGAACCGACTGATCGAATTTCACTTGACTTGATTAGCAATAATTACATTAGAATTTTTGAAAATAACAGTTGAGTTGTGCGAGATAACATGATCACTTAACTTCCATAACTATATACATAAATGTGTTATCAGAATGGATTTTGGTGGAGATTGTAGTTATTTTAATAGTTGAATTAATGGGCAAATCTAAATTAGAACACCATTAAAAACTTGGAAGCCCTAGACTGCCGTTTCCTCCTAGTATGGCAATCCTCAGAAGTGCATATCCACGATCCTATATGAAGAGGTCGTCCAGTGCTTTCAGGATTTCACTGGTGGTCTAGTTTAGATCGACTTATAAATTCAACTATTAAAATAAGTTTGTTAACTGCAAAAGCCGATGATTTCTGTTCTTCAAGGATCCATATATATTTTTTTTAAAATCATTATGACCAGTCCAGACTTGAATATATCCATTTTATCCATATTTGAGATCTATTACCCTACGAGACACTTGCTTACTTCAAACACAAAATCAACCGTCAAGATTTTCAACGCCACACAGTAAACCTAGTACTATGTCACTCTATGATAAAATTCCCGTTTAAATTATATAATAGAATAATCTTCATTAGTCAATTCACTAACTAACATTATACGCAGCAGTTGTAAGCTCCGACGCAGATGATAATTCATTATCCACTTCAACTTTAGGATGATTCACATTCATTGTATCATTGAAAGTATTCCAATTACCATTATTATCATAATTAGTCAATGTTTTCGATATATTATCACGTGTAGAGCCCTTTTTCATTGATTGTTTTAATGGTATACGATTGGTAGATAGTTCATTTGTCAATTCTTCTTTATTACTGTCCAATTGTTCATATGAATTCATCCAATGTGATGAATAGGTTCTATTCATATTTAATTGTTGATTAAAAGATTTAAATTTTGGATAATCATGAATTGATTCTTCATATTCATATGGTTTATTAGTAGTATAATTATAAACTGATGATTCAGGAATCATTGTATCAACTTGAAGCATCTAATGAATGAATGAAAAGAAAGCAGAATCAGAATCGTTGAATCAACGATGATTCAAAGTTGTATTAATGAGGAATTCAATTTCTAAATCTCAGTCGATATGGTTACTAAGTATATTCTTTAGTACTCGTTAGATCCTATGTATTAAGTTGCAATATGTCTACTAGGCTAAACGATCAGCATTGCTAAGCTGATCAGTAGAATTCAATGAACATCAAGAAGTAGGCAATATTGTAGTGAACAAGAACACGAGTGGGGACAATCGAATGTATTTAAGCACAAATTATAGACTATCTCACTAAATTCTGATAACCATACAGTAAAACAGTTAATTTGCAAAATAACAACCAATTGTTTCAATCTTCCCTGTTCCTTCTGTAAATATCACTTCATCTTCTCTAATTTCATTGTTCATGCATTTTCCTAACAATTGCGCTTCATTTCAGTTCTCTCCTTATCGATCTTCTGCCAAAATACATTCTATATCTGACCATCTCCATATACTACTTATATGACTATAAGTAGACCACACTACAATATGACACTGTTATACTGTGATAAAATTATACTTCACTGACGACATTGACTAGCTTTTGAGATAACTTTGAGAAAATGAAGTTAAACTTTAGTCAATTAGAGTGCAAGTGACATGGACCAATAATTTATTATATAAAAACCCAAAAAAAGAATAGTTAGGGTTAGATTTTGGAGTTAGAATTCGGAATTATGATTCAGATTTAGGTTTATAGTTAGAAATGTCGGCTAGGAAATATACTTTTACTCTGTACTATCAAATGATCAATTAGTTAGAATACACCTCAGTTGTATAAGAGGTTAGTTATCGAATGAAATGTCAGCGATATTTGGTGACAAGAGTTTGAAACCTATGTGAAACATCTATTTCCTCAAGATTGTAGATATAACTTTCTGCTGAACATCAATTAGTGTGAAACCTATATCATACAGGGCTTCCTGACAAGAATCTTTCATTAAACTGTATTGGCAATATTGGGGGTAAAAATTAAAGTGGAAATAACAGCGTCCTTCATATATAGAAAAATCAAAGGACGTAGCTAACTTGTTCTTGTGATTAATTCTCCAAATCTATTAAAATGAACATCTTTTTATTCCCATAAGTGATGTCCATAAAAAAGAAATACTCAGAGTTAAGTTAATAATATATTGTAACAGTTGAGATCACGAATCAATTGAAGCTAGACCATCATGGAAAACTTAGAAGCATTGGACGGCTGTTTCGTCCTACTGTGAGACTCCTCAGCAGTGCGCATCCATGATCTCGCCTCGTGAGATTCGATTCATGATCTCAACTGTTAAAATGACTATAATATCCACAAAAACTCTTCTGATATTAATAGTAATATATATAATTAGTTAATCTGGAAAAGCGATACCAGATTTAACTAATCTACTTTGAAGAATACTTCTTGACTGAATTTTCGCAAGATAACTGAAGTAAGTATCTACATGATTTTATTGAAAATCAATCGCAAAGTTGCAAGTGTATTCCGATTGAAGTAACGAGACAACGTATTGTAGATCACCAGCGTGGATGATCTCTGTCAAATGGTTTGGGGCCTACTCGAATCAGACGGGAATGGTTCGACCAACAGCTAACGTCGAAGTCATACTTCATAGTCAGCATCCAACATGGGCTACCCCTTCGTCGTATCATTGTATGCTTTGAAGATCGTACCATACAGAGGAAGTTATTACAGAAATATATCAGTTAAAGTAGGTACAAGCGAAAGCGTGGCCACCAACACATGGGCCAGTCCGTGACGTACAATTAACTGATGAGCGTTGATTGTACTTAACCTAAACGGGGATCAGTGAACTGTTCGTTATTCAGTTACCCAACTGCATGATGATTCGGTTAGGGCTCAGTGACTTTTCACTGTCCCCACAATATCTACTCAGTTTAAAAACTTATGTATCATTCAAATTTCAATTTTACTTTGACCATAAACTATCAACTGAATGAAAACTATTTAACTATTCATATCAAGTGACATTAGTCTCTCAACAAGATCCAATTAAACTAAATCAAATGATTAAGATAAAACTAGGTACAATTTATGAATTGATTTCTTTCACTGGAAATCCTATGGAAATTGAGCTTTCCATTAGATTCTAAACGTCATTTGTGTATATACATATCATCCTTTTGATCAAAGTCAGATCAAATAGCTTACTTATTATAAACTAATATATGTCGATTAAGCTTTTCAGGTAGAGTCTGATAAAAACAAATCTATGATTGTACCGTTATTGAAATGTTCAAATGTCCTGACATCTTTTCTAATTTAAACAACTAACTTATCTGATATGCGTTATATTATTGATCATAATGAACTCTGTACACCATAATAATAATATCACAAAGGGGTTTTCGTGGAGATTTTAGTAATTAAAATCATGAGTCGATTGAAGCTGGACCACAGCCGTTCAGTGCTTTCAGGTTCACCAAGGTGGTCTAGCTTCAATTGACTCATGATCTTAGCCATATAAAATAAGCATAATAATAATAATAGTAAGATCATATTAATCAGATCATAACTACTTACATTATCATCCATAGTTTTACGTTTCTTTACATCGATCATACATTCTTCTTGATGTTTTTGTTCTTCATTAAGCGGTAGACATAGATTATTCTTTGTATGATGATATTTTAAATTTAATAAAGTATTCATTGAATTAGAACGATTCCATTGATTATCAATAGTACTTCGATGACGTTTCTTTGATGTAGAAGATTTTTCAGTTGATTTTATTTCTAATGATTTACATCGTATAGGTATATTACTATTTTCATGAATTATACTACTTTCTAAATCATTTATAGTAGTAGTAGCAGTAGCAGGAGTAGTAGCAGGAGTAGTAGTAATAGGATCTATAATATTAGATGATAATGTAGTTGTATTCGTAGAAGTAGTACTACTAGTAGTAGTATTTAAATCAATTGGAGTCAATTCAGAATATGGAATATCTGAATTGAATGATTCACAAATTATAGAAGATGAAGTCTGTAATGAATAAAACCAAACAAAATTGGTTAGTAATATGAAATGATCAAATATTATTTAATCATTTTATAAATGAAATCATGAGTCAATTGAAGCTAGACCATCATGAAAAACCTCGGAGCACTGGACGGCCGTTTCGTCCTATTATGAGACTCCTCAAGAGTGCTTACCCACGATCCCGCATCTTAAGATTAGAACCCAGTATCTAACAGTCTCTCGCCAGAACACTTAACTGATAGACCACTGAGCCGACTGGCATCCAATGATGTTAATATCTAACTTCAACCAATCCACGAAATTGCTCAACCATTTTCCATTGTACTGAGGTAGATACCTGTCTCTACTTAACATGGATTAGCTCCATTGGTCACGATTTCTCACTAGAACTCCAACAATTACCTTATGGAGGTAGTCATTAGTGAGCATATGATCATTATTATTATTAAATAAAAACATTAAAAACTTACCATTGATGATAATCGATATAATAATAAATTATTACAATTATTATAATAATTCATTATATTTGAAATAATCTCAATAATTGAAATTTTAAATAATAATTCCAATGTTTCGTCCCTCAAACTTGTTTGATCTTCTTCAGGATAATCATGAAACAGTTTAATTTTTAAATAAATTACTATTATTCTTGTAAGTAAATATAATTTACTAATGATTTATTCAATATTTAATTCATTCATAATTATTTAAAATAGAATACTCATCAAATTGTTTAAATAAACAAAATCTTATGACCTAGAAATAATAATACTAATCGATATATCAACTATAATTTCCTATTTATATCTGTATATATAAAGTGGAGTTTCACTCAGTAACATAATTTATCACATGTATTATGATCGGTATTAACTTATCTATCATGTACATTGGTCAATCTATCTTATATTGGTACTACTACTACTCCTACTCCTACTCCTACTACCACTTCTACTACTACTACCACTTCTACTACTACTACTACTAATGATAATAATATGACTTATTCAAGTATTGTTAAGAAAAATGAAGAAAAAAAAAAGATTGATCGATTATTATTATTTTTTGGTGGAATCCATTACATTGTATCCCCATTTGAGAAGTACTTAATAAATTTGATTCATAGAGAACTTTTTTGTACATGTATGATTTTTAACCTCAGAAAGTATAAAAATTCAATTAAATGAAGGCATAGTACTAAGAAGATCAACAACAACAACAACAACAACAAAAACGAAATGGTTATATTGAATTGGTAACATCAATGTTGTAACCTACTTAATTGACAAAATAATCATAATATTTCTTAGATAATAAATATATGTATGTATGTATATATCTCTGTTTTATAGGTGTAAAGGTTGTTAACAGATTGTTATTTATAACAGAGTAATTGCGTAACATTATACATACATATGCATTAATTTCAGAGGTACTTTAGTGTATGCTACTGATTTCAATAGATATAAGTAGTATAAATAATAAGTATTATAAGTAGTATGTATTATTAATTGAGTGAAATGTCTAGCGGTAGATCGAAGAAAAGAGAATAAGAACAAAGAATGATTGATAAGAAAATGAATGAACAATGAAGTTTGAGATGATTGATTGATATTATGTAAATGAAATAGTTAATGTATGGTCCTCAGATTTTATTATAATTTTCTGTAAATTTGTATTCAAATACATTCGGTTGTTATTATTATTATTATTATTATTATCAGAAGGGGTTTTGTGGAGATTAAATATTTTTAATATTTGAAAACGTTAGTCAATTGAAGCAAGAACATCATGGAAAATCTGGATGCATACTGCTGAGGAGTCGCACAATACGACGAAACAGCCGTCCAGTGCTTATAGGTTTTCCATGGTGGTCTAGCTTCAATTGACTCACGCTTTCAACATTCGGTTGACCCCATTTGTGTGATCTTGTTCACTATAGTACTATAGAAATCTACCTGAATTAAATAAATAATACATTTATAATATCCCAATAACATGACATTGATTTATTCAAACCTGTCTTTTTGATTGATCGCACCTAATATTCGGGTTGTTCCGTTGTACTACTTAAACTTGGATTAATGTTAATTTGGTTATTTATTCTCTGAAGAAGTGGCTTACACTGAGTCGTGAAACGTCAGAAAATCTAATTTTTCTACTGATCGGGATATTACAAATATTATCAGAAAGGGGTTTTGTGGAGATTTTAGTAATTTTATATAGTTGAGATCATGAGTCAATTAAAGCTAGACCATTATGTAAAACCTGGAAACACTGGGTGACCGTTTCGTTCTATTATGACACTCCTCAGCAGTACGCATCCACGATCCCGCCTTTATTTATAACAGTCTACCCAATACTTTATTTATTCGAAATTATCAAATCAAAACTTGTTAATGATACCTACCTGGATCAAGTTTATGATATTACTTAAGTTAATTATCAATTTATCGATATTCAGATCTATTTCTACAATATTAAGTTATTTTGATCAATCCACTTTAAGGATACTGTGGTGTGGTCTACTTATATCCATATAAGTAGTATATGGTGTGGGTCAGACATAGAATGTATTTTCGCAGAAGACCGATGAGGAAAGAACTGAAATGAAACGCAAACGTCTGGAAAATGCATGAGCAATGGAATAAGAGAAGAAACAGTGAAGATTGAAACAATTGGTTTTTAATTTGCAAATTGACTCTTCATTGTTTGGTTATGAGAATTTGCCGAGATAGTCTGTAATGTTTGCTTAAATACAACCAGTGCTCTGTTCATTACAATACTACCGGCAAGCAATAATCAACAATTTCAATTGTTTAGTAACAGAAGGGTTTTTGTGAATATCATAGTAATTTTAATAGTTGAGATCATGAATCAATTGAAGCTAGGCAACCATGGAAAATCTGGAAGAACTGGATGGCCATTCATATCTCACGATGCAGGATCGTGGATGCTCATTGCTGAGGAGTCCCACAATAGGACGAAACGGTCATCCAGTGCTTTCAGGTTTTCCATGGTTGCCTAGCTTCAATTGATTCATGATCTCAGCTAATAAAATTTCCATTATGTTTAAAATTCTTCAACTGTGTGGATTTGCAATCCTGTATTCATTTGAATTCTTTGATATCATACTTGTTATGAAGTCTGAAGATCATAGGTTCGACCCTGCTTTTAATTATGTTTAGGTTGATATGATTTCAAAATCGTTCGATGTTTAGTAAACCATCTTAACTACTATAATCTTTACTGAAAAACACTTAGTAATCAAATAAAAATTATCTTAGATTACGACAATAGAATATGACTATTATCACTGAATACTTCCTTAAGTCTCACTGACTAATTAGCATATATATGTAGTGTTCATTCTTGGCTCTGTCCATCAGTTCATCAACACATTATTAGATTATCGTTACTTAAAAGTTGTTATATCTGACATGAAAGGTTTAAATTGAAACTACTTAAATCTTAGAAAGCAAAACTTTCTTTGATTTACCATAAGTTGAATATATTCATATAATTTGAACTATTTCCATTGGAGTTATATTGATGATAATTAGTATTGGCAAATTGGTAATTGATCTTCATATGACCTAGTAAAGTAAAACATGAAAAAATTAAGATATTGGGTAAATTATAGTACTTATTAAGAAATAAAGTAGTAAATATTGGAAACATGAATAAATAAAAATGTGAAAGTTGCAACTAGTTATCCTGAGTAGTTATTGAAAAGTTGATAATGAAATATCCAATTCCATTTTCACCAATAAAAGTTTTAAATCATTTTGTATTACTTGTTTCAAACTTCCCATTGATATTTAGTACTGCAACTGGTCAGTCTATAATTGGCATATGTGCATACTGTTAGTATTGCCTCGATATTGCCTTAAGTCACAAGCATTGTTAGCAAAGATGGATGGCTGCTAGTAATAGAACCCAGGATGCAAGTTTCGTCCCATTTTCGACTCGTCAATCGAATGTATCTGTATTCCAGAGTTGATGTCCATCGCGGGACTCCAACCCATCATCGTCTGCTTTAAACGCTATCATGTTATCTATTTACCTATTGAGTCATGATAGCCACTAGCTTGTGCAATGGACCCAAGCTTTAATTCATTTTGTATCGTTTGTTTAAATGTCCCCATCGATGTTTAGGACTGAATTTCACTAAACTCTAGGGATTATCAGGGCTCAGTAACTAAGGATAACACAATAGCGTTTGAAGCGAACGGTATTGGGTTGGAGTCCTGGAGTCAACATCAACTCTGGGATACTTGTACACCCTGTGATGAGTCACAGATAAGACGTTCTGAATTCCACTGCCAGCGGCTACCCATCTTTGTTTATAATAAGTGGAGTTTGTTTAATGAATACATATTTTTCACCATGGCCACAATTATAAAATTCCTCATCAACAAAACGGCAAGCATGAAAAACCATATTTCGTGCTAAGAACTGGGTTATAGTGATAGGTGTGAACTTCTTGATACGGAACCTTGAGTTACTCATAATAATCTGTGGTCAGAGACTGGATAACATGGCTCATAAGCAGTGATAGTAGCACAGATGTATTAATTCTCTATGTTCCCATAAATAATGAATTTAAATGTTAGTCTATGCATTCAATTCCTTGATCACATCTGTTTCCGTCAAACTGTAAGTTGAACTTAATTAATAAAAACAAACACAAATTATTGTTAAGATAACACAGGGAAAGTCTAGCCTCATTACTACTCAGTTAAAAACAGGTTAAAAGACTGAACAAGTTGTAACTGGTAACGAATAAAATTAAGCATCATATACACTTTTTACAAGATAAATAAAGCTTTCGTGGTTCATTGTGGATTCTTGCATTTTAAAACGTAATTGTTTCCTGTATGGGAACTTATTTATGCTATTTCAAATCATATATAGTTGAGAGTCAATTGAAACTAGACCACCATCGAAAACCTGGAAACACTGGATGGCCATTTTGTCCTATTGTGGGGCTTTTCAACAGTGCGCATCCACGATGTCGCCTCATGAGATTCGAACCCAGGACCTATCAGTTTCGCGCGCGTGCGCTCAACCACCAGAACACTGAGCCGGCAGGTATCCAACGGTGTTAATGTCTAACTTCAACCAATTCACAAAGTTGAGCAACCATTCACCAATATCTTCAGTGAGTTTATATTGCCCAACAGACCCGCTTGAATTTCACTGGTTACTGCTTCTCACTAGAACTCCATGAAATACCTCATGGAGCCAGTCACTAGTGAGCACATGATCATTATCATTATTTCAAATCATTCTCTCCTGGAAGCCATTACTTGAGTGTAGTTGAATCTAGTTACTATGCAATGAAATCTGCAAGCAACCATTTTATGAACATATTTAATAATTAATTTTGATATCAACAATGAAACTGATAAGATTCTGACAAATAATAACCATGTTTTGTTTTGCAGAGATGGATAGTGGCTAGCAGTGGAATCCAGGACGCGCGTTTCGTCCTATTTGGGACTCTTTAGTTGGATGTACCTGCATCTCAGAGTTGATGTTCACTCTGGGACTGGAACCCAGTACCCTCGCTTCAAACGCCATCGCGTTATCCACTCGGCCACTGAGTCCTGATAGCCACTTGCTTGTGCGATGGGGTGAAGTTTGAATTCACTTAGTATTGTTTGTTTGGATCTTCCCATCGATGTGTTTAGGACTGCACATTTGTCAATTAGAGACTGACCAGTTGCAGTCCTAAACACATCGATGGGAAGATCCAAACAAACAATACTAAGTGAATTCATGTTTTGTTTTGTTTTATGTTTTACTGGTGCGTCACATTCTCCAGTCCGACTAGTTCAACCTTATAGCATCGGTTTAATAATTCTATATATGTTTAGTTTTCACCTACTGATATTCATTTTTGATTTTTATCCTGTTAATTTTCTTCCCTACTGTGTTGATGTAAATCTTGATAACATGA